GCACTCTCCCCTAATTCTAGATTATTCTAACCTATTTCTATCTAACCTACAACTGACGTTCATTTAATTGTCTAAGATAAAAATGAACGATACGTTTAAAGAAATACAATTTTTATGCATAATAACTGCATTTGATTCCAGGTTTGTCTAGATGTGTTTGCTTTTATGAACCGGTCCGATGACAGAAATGAGATCGCTTGGATTTATGACCAGTGTTATACGGAACTATTTGAAAATAAAATTGGATGCAACTAGAAATTGAGTCGCATTATAAGCTTTTACTTTGTTCGCAATGTTTGTTCGTGTGTTTGTCGCAAATAATGTAACTTAATTTTGTTCCATTTCTAATGTGTCGATTTCGTTCAAATTTTCCTGATGCATTCGTCTTTGATGAAGGCGATAGCTTATTAATTATGTCACAGAAACAGGTGAACTTTATCTACCTATTCTTATATTCTATGACAGTGATTGTTGTGTTTAAAAAATGATAATTTTCCTTTACTTTACTAAAAGAAAACACAAAACTTAAGTTTAAAGCATGTCTAAAATTACTTTTTGTAGATGATTCAAATAAAAAAAAAGTTAATTAAAAGAGCTTAGGTGGTGATATACATATTCGTATCGTGAAGGAGTAGGCATCATAACGTGTTATAACATGGTGCTGAACGTAATCAGTGGCGATATAAGGGTCGTGTGGATCAGGGAAAAAGCCTAGTATCTAAATATATTTTGTAAGTTATGTAAGGAATAGAAAGAAAAACAAACAGAAATCTATAGCACCATTTTTAAAATTTTTTTTTAACCCAAGTATTTAAAATAAGTGAACACAAAATAATTAAAGTAACAAAGAAGTTCCTAAACCGGTAGACTACTTATGTATATAACTATATATATAACTATATATATATATATATATATATATATATATATATATATATATATATATATATATATATATATATATATATATATATATATATATATATATATATATATATACATAATTTATATATACATATATATATATATATATATATATATATATATATATATATATATATATATATATATACGTATTTATATTTACATTTATATTACTCGTGTTGATGTCTCCTACCGTGTTTTCAATTACAAACTGTTCCACATAAAATAACAGACACATTAAAAGAACATCACGGTTTACACTACGAGAGTAAAGATACAATATAAATGAAAAAGCTCATTACCAGAGCAAAATATTAAAATATGTTCTATAAATGACCAATCTCCAAAGGAAATTCTTTATGTAATAACTGCTCCAAGTAATTATTTATATGCTGGTAAATACAAAATTATTAAACGAGGTTACTCCTAACAGGGGAGAAGACTGGTGCAGTTTATTTTTCTGATGAAGCAGTCCTGTTATAAAGACTAAGGGGTGTATTTTTTTTTATTTGACGTCACGCCTACGCATTTTCTAGAAACTTTATTTTAATTTTAGCTTTTTTTGTGAATAATAAAATTAGTTTAAAAAACAACAGTTTCGAAAATGAATTAATGAATCGAATTGAAGTCTTATTTAAAAAAAAATAAAAAAAAAATAAGCAAAATAACGGCTATTCACATCATTACTAAGGGGAGCTACTCTTTAAATACAGCTATAGCCAAGTTAAACTCTTCTACATAAATAAAAATGAGAAAAAAAACAACGGATTCTCCTAAAATGTATGGCATCAATTTGGATGAGAGTGTCCTATTTTTTGTGGTGACGTGGTCATACCGTAACACAACGTCACAGAAAATTCACGGACGGGGTAAACAAGATTGATTTGTGAGTGGCGACCTCTTTGTGACTACGATCTGCGTTTGCGAGTGGTTCTTTTAACTCCTGAGTTAAATCTACTTTTTGGTTTTTTTTCTGCAATGAAAAGGATTTGAGAAATAAACATTATATGTAAGCACTAAGGTTAATAGGTCAGAGCTTTCAAATAATATTGTTTCTGAGTAAAATGCATGGTATTAAAATCGTCTCTCCCCCTGTCTTTCTCTCTCAGAGTTTCTTCCCCCCCCCCCCGAAAAAATTCTACCGCCCCCCCCCCCCGTACGAAATGAAATTTATATAATTTATATTGAAAATACATACTTTTAACAATGTCCGCCCCACCCCCCCGAAGAAAGTCTACCCCCCCCCCCCCCCGAAAATTTCAATTACCCCCCCCCCCCCCCCCCCCCCGCGGAGAAAAAAGTCTGGAAGAAACACTGCTCTCTCTCTCTCTCTCTCTCTTTATATATATATATATATATAAAATTTATTCATATATTAAGCAATTTATGTGTGTTTGTTTGTTTATCTGCTTTTTCTGTCTTTTATGCATTACTACACCTTTCATCCTATCGGCATGAAACTTAATGAACTTGATGAGAATAATTCTGGGGAGGTTTCTGTTGAAAAAAAAAATTTTCAAATCGCAGTGGTGGCCCCCGCAGGGCGCGATTTGTTTTTTCTCTATATACGGTATATAAAAATTGATAGTCGATTGACACCGTTCATCTAATCGCCATGACACTTTTGGGGAGTTGATTAGAACACTCCAGGGGAGGTTTCTGCAAAACAAAAATCTCATTTAAATGTGATGCTAAATAGAAAATTTAAAAAGTACTAACTGCAGAATTTACAGCTTAAAGCGCATGCCTCCTTGTTCTGGTTGGTAATGACTGGGTTTCTTCGACAGCTGCTTGGAGATGTTTTACATTTATAATCACGACCAATTAGACGATTATTGTCTTTACATTCCTCTGTGGGATGGAAATAATGATTTGCGAGGTTAGATGTTGGGATAATCAAAAGGATTATTGTATGTGAGACTTCTCTAATCGTGAACGAAACGATGGCGGTAACGAGTCCAGTGTAACGTTTAGACTTTGCTCACCAGGGGGAAGGATAAGTTGAAATTTTCGAGGAGGCGGACTAAAATTTCTGGGAGGATGGGGGCGTGGGGAAGGGGGGCGGGCATTGGCGAGTTAATATATTTTCTATGCAAATTCTATTTCGTTCGGGATGGCGGTAGAGGTTCTTTGAAGAAATGCCTGAAAGAAACTCTGAACGAGTCCAAGCAATTTTTGTTTTGCATGTCAGTCTTCATTCTGCAGCACATCTTTAGTCAGGCAAGACAGTCATGCGACTCCTTGTAAAGGCATGACATTCAATTTCACTCATATAACCCAATGTCAGTCATACAACTAAATGTCAGTCATGCAACTGAATGTCAAACACATACTTTTTAACGTGTTAAATCTCAATATCATTGATACAACCGAATGTTAGTCATTCAGTTAATGCCATTCATACAACGGAATGTCAGTGATACAACTAAATGTCAGTGATAGAACGAAATACGATTGATTAATTTAAATGTAAGTTTACAACTTATAAATAGTCAGTTTATACAACTGAATGTCAAGCATACTTCTCAATGTCAGTCATAAATGTAAATATAATTAATACAACTGAATGTCAGTAATTCAATTAATGCCATTCCTACAACAGAAAGCCAGTCATACAACAGAATGGCAGTCATACAACAGAACTCCAGTCATACAATAGCATGCCAGTCATACAACATAACTCCAGTGATACAACAGAACTCCAGTCATACAACAGAACTACAGTAATACAACAGAACTCCAGTCATACAACATAATGCCAGTCATGATAACCATAACCTAACAAGACTATTTAACTAACACTGAACACATTATTAGACTGATACACGTCGTACTTGAGATGTATCACACACACACACACACCAGTTGCTTCCAGTCATCTCTTCGGGGGGGGGGGGCAAATCCCCCCCCCGAAATTTTTTTACCGCCCCCCCCCCCCCCGAACGAAATGAAATTTATATAATTTATAAAGAAAATATATACTCTTAACAGTGTCCGCCCCCCCCCCCCCCCCGAATAAAGTCTACCGCCCCCCCCCCCCCGAAAATTTCAAGTGCCCCCCCCCCCCGAAGAAAAAAGTCTGGAAGATATATACACACACACACACACACACACTCTCTCTCTCACCTGGCCAATATATCACGAGACAAGTACTCACTGTCACAATTAGGCCCTGCTCCGTACGTGCAATTACACGTGCATGAATGACTGTCCAAGACGCCGCTCCCGTATTATTGTCCTCACACGTTTTTTGACATGCTGAAAAACAAATTTGCAATCGATTGAGGTTAAAGTAAATCTTACAATTTGTAATATAAATTAGATATGGGGTTTAATCAAATCAATTAACTGAACTAACTGTTATTTTCTCTAAAATGCTAACCTAAACATCTTGAGTTCAAATCAGGGTCAAAATCAGTAGGATTTCCCAGAGTCGACTCAGCTCTGATTGGTACCTAACTCATGTTAGGGAAAGTAAAGGCGGCTGGGCAAAATTCTGACCACACCTTCCTTTTATATACCGAGGTCAAGATACATATGAGGTCAAGAAACTCTAATTCATCTGCCCAATGGATCGCTAAGTCTAAAGAGGATTCTTATTTTTCCTTTTAATTGTTCTTTAGTATTCTCGCTTAAGTAACTAAAAAATAGAAAATTTAGAGAATAATAAGACATGGAAAACTCAATCGACTTACTACACCTCTTCCTTCTGTCTGTACACTTAGCTGTAAATTAAAGAAAAACATACTGAAAGATGTTTGTAATCAATGTTTCATTTAGACAATTTTCTCCGAGGGTGTGTGTGGGGGGGGGCTCTTGAAGCTTTCGGGGGGCGGCGGAGTTATTTTCCATGTAGGGGGGGACTATGGTTATAGTATTTGTTTTCTATGTAAATTTCACACATACACACACACACACACACACACCATACATACACTTGTGTTTGTGCAACCCCCACCCCATCCTCCTTCCCCACCCTACACTCGAATAAATTCCCGAAAGAAACTTTAGTTGTTATTAAAAAAAAATAACGTATTCAGTTAATTAACATCTTTCATCAATAAATAATAATTCATCGTGTATTGAACAAAAGTTGTTAAAATTGCTAATCAAATCTTTTCCAAATAAAAGTAGCCCCCCCCCCCCCCCCCCGCACTCTTAGCTACTATTTCTATAGCCAGATTCAATTGAAAGTGACATTTTAAACATTTTTGTTATGCACGAGTATACAGGAAATTTAAGAGTGCTCACAACCACTTTTATTTCTCTGGACGAGGCAAAGTTGATTTTCTAAGGAACTAATCGCATTGCTGATTCTTTGGTGGATCTTCTAGTTAGTGGTACAATACGTGTATGATATTCGTAACACTCGGAGCATGAATCTCAATATCATATATCTATGGGCTCATGTCTTACAACTGCACACGCACCTTTACTTGTCAATGACATATACGTGTAAATATTTAATCGTAGGAAATATAAGAGATTTATGACGCCGAAAATTCCAGGTAAAATGATTGTCTATGTGTGTATATATATATATATATATATATATATATATATATATATATATATATATATATATGTATATATATATATATATATATATATATATATATATATATATATGGTTCCATGACAAATGATTTCAAGACAAATGATTTTATATAAAATATCTCCGACAAGAAATTTTTCACGGACAAATGATCTCAGGACAAACGATCTTAAGGACAAATTATCTCAAGGTCAAATGATCTCACGGACAAATGATACCATGGACAAATGATCTCAGACAAAATATCTGAATATTTTTTATTGATGATCACAGTGTTTACTTTATACTTATAATTGATGAAAGATATGTATGCGTACATTTCTTTTTTGCGCATTTTTCTATGTGCGCATTTTTCTGTGTGCGCATTTTTCTTTTTGCGCATTTTTCTGTTTGCGCGATTTTCTGTTTGTACATTTTTCTCTTTGCGCAATTTTTTTTTCGCATTTTTACGTTGCACTTTTTTCCGTTGCGCATATTTCTGGTAATATATATATATATATATATATATATATATAAATATATATATATATATATATATATATATATATATATATGATAATGTACATAAAGCGTACTTACAGCACAAATAATTACTACACTGGTTGTGTGGCTCAGGGCACTGAGTACACGGTAAACCGTATTCAAACGCAATTTTTTCCTTCTGTAGAACTGTTTGACTGGTGTGTTCATGAAAACAACAAGTAGTTAAACATTTCGTTATTTTTTTATTTTTTTTTTTGCTACAGTGTCGTGATTTCTCTATTATACAACGACGGTACAATTTCAAAATTTATGTTAAGGAGTGGTTGTATAAAAATTATGGGAAGGCGTGGACAGAACTTCGAACGACTGCCGGATAGAAAATGTCGGTGTTTCGAGTTCGTTGGGCGTTCTCGCGTCCGTTCAGCTATGCTAGTTAGCTTCAAGATTCACTCTAGGGGAGGTAAATGCGACTTGGCATAGTGATGACAAAATTATCCCTTGATATCCCGTGATTAAAAAAACACGTAAACTCTACTGTAGCCTGTATGTCGTATCTAGCCCAGATTCCGTAAGTGGTAACTTTACTTGATAATAATTGCATTTCTTTACTCGCATTTGTATTGCTTTTCATGTAATTTTTGTATTGCGATTAATCACATAGTCTGCACAATGAATACTTTAATAGTGAGTTACTGGTTAAGTCAGAGGCGTAGCGACCCTTACCGGCGCCCGGGGACAAACTTTCGATTTACACCCCCCCCCCCCTCATATTTTCGATTTGCACCCCACCCCTTAAACTTTCGATTTGCACCCATCTTCAAGCTTTCAATTTATTTTTCCAACCCATTTTGGCGCCACCTAAGGTCGGCGCCCGGGGACATATGTCCCCTTCCGCCCCCCCCCCCTCGCTACGCCTCTGCTGTTAAGTAGTCAAAACAACGATAGGTTGTAAATGTTATAGCTCAAAATGTGGTAAAATACCCATTAACTCACTCAGTGCCGTAATAGCAAGCCAAATACAATTGGAAAGCGTTATTCCGCCTATAAGTATTTTTCGCACAACCCACTTTGTGCAGTAAAGGGTCAACTAACTGAAACATAATAAATAAAAACCATTTATGAGGAGTAATTTTGATTCATTATTTAGCGGAGTGAGTGTGAATTTAAGTATGAGTTTTTTTAAACTTTTTTAGCATTTCTTGTACTCAATGGCTGTGTTAAGACCTGTTTTTTTTTTTTTCTCGTCTGAAAGATCAGCCATATTTTAACACCGATATATCATTTGTGTAAGCTGTCAGAAAGATGTATCAGCCATATTTTAACACCGATATATCATGTGTGTAAGCTGGCAGTAAGATGTATCAGACATATTTTAACACTGATATATCATTTGAGTAAGCTGTCAGAAGGTGCGTCGGTTTGGTAACCATATGTTGCTCTTATCAAATTCCAACTCATTGCTATTACTATTATTAAAATGCATTTCCACGTCGTATGCTTTGTAATTAATAAAAAGAAATTAAATTAGCAGTCGACAATACGGGCTACTTTACCCCCTTTACTTTAACCCCCCCCCCCCCTCTTTAATTACATACATGCCTTTATTGAGGGACTTAGCACCGGGTTCGTTTATTTGTATCAATGATACGGAATGTGTCCCTCTTCACTCAGTGTCACAATGACCTAGGTCATTTGCCGAAGTGTTATTGACTCGTGTGTCTTATGCTTGAGGGGAAACAAAAGGTGTGTGTGAGGAGGGGGGGGGGGGGGGGGGTTAAGTCATGGACGGTCACCGTGAAAAAAACAGGGGTTCTGGACGGCCAACGCAAATCTTAGGAAGTGCTGGACGGCAAACATCCATGTACAGTGTTCGTCTTCTTCTTCTACTTCTTCTTCTTCTTCACAGATTTTAGCATCCTTTTTTAAATTTGTTTCAATAACCTTTGTCCAACCAAGAACAACCTACAAGGCAGCAGTTGTTTGGAGTTGTCTCTCCTAGAAGAGCTGCTGGTCTAACTAGCCAAACCCATCTGCCCGAGAGTTCGTACTTTGGTAGCTTATCGTGTTGTCAGCCAACTATGTTGTTTTACCAATCTAACTATTTACATAGTCACATCCTGTTTTTACACAATGTAGAAAAAACATATTGTGTTAAAAAAAGATAAATACTCACATTAGAAAAAAGCGGCCATTTGTCCCGAGTAAACTTTTTAGAAGAGAAAGAAAATCTCCGACCCTCCTGATACCATTGGTCAATGATGTTGTGGAAGCTGGGGTCCGATGGTTTGCTTAGCCCGGCATTGAGATCTTTGATGCTTCTTTCGTCGTATGCCTCGGAGTCAGCAGAAATGTGTTTCTCTGCGCGTTCTTGTAGACCTGTGTCCCACTCCTATAGCGAATGTAGGGGAAAATTTACGTTGAAAGCAATGATATATATATAGATATAAATATATATATATATATATATATATATATATATATATATATATATATATATATATATATATATATATATAGTAGATGTGTGTGTGTAGGTGTGAGTGCGTGTGTATCAAGCACATTATAAAATATTTAATATTTCATACAGTTGAACTATTTTGATCATTTTAGAGCTTATAAATATATGTATCATTTAAAAAATAAAATGTCCTTATCATTAGACTATCCGGACGATATTTTACCACTTGATATGGTCATATTATTTAGACGTTAATTTCCACGAGGTCCACTTTTCGAAATGTCTTTATAATTATAAGCTCTACTTCGAGTGTCATTCTAGTATTTAAAGGTGAAACCTCGGCTGGTTTTCTATAAGTATTTCAGTGGTCTTTCAATAACCCAATCCCTCCCCAGATATTTACCCCAATGGTAACTACCCACTGCAATAATGCGCAGATATCTAAGAAAAAAAATAAGACTAACGAAATGAAATCCATCGTTAAAAAATATAGTTTTAAAAAATATTAATATTAATATATTTGAGAAAAAATATAATAATATAATTTATATATATATATATATATATATATATATATATATATATATATATATATATATATATATATATATAAATTGTTGGATTTCTTCCAGCACAGTAAGTCTAGCGTGTTAGGTGCTGTATAGGACCTTACCTTGAGCCTGCTTTTCTGTCTGGATTTGCTTCCTTAGTCTTTAGACATCCAAGAACAAACTACAAGGCAGCAGTGGTTTAGTTTTGGGCTTTTAGATCGGTTCTGTCCCCAACCATCGAGCCTCATCTACCCGAGGGTTTGAACTCGGGACTTACAGGTTCAGCAGCTTAGAGTTTAACGACCTCCTCCCCCCCCCTCCCCCCAACACCGAACATATAATATGATGGTTTTAGTTAACAGCAATTCATACAGAGAAACTCACCATTTCCAACATGTTAGCAATTGTGTTTGGAGAGCTCCTGTTGACCATGTCCCGTCTGAACGAATTGTGCAGCTCCACGATGGTTTTATCTCACTCGAGTTCAGACACATCACCATCTCTAAAACCTCACCTGCAACAGCACATCAACCAAAATCAAGTAATCGACTTTTTATATAGGTCTACAGAGTTAATATTGCAATGCCCAAACTTCTACCTCCACCCCCCCCCCCCCCCCATCTTAGGAAGAAATTTAAAAAAATATATTTTGTATTTTAAATTCACTATTCGTTCCAAAACCTTTCGATTCCAGAGATATCTCAACACACATTTAAAAACACTTCAGTGAACAAACGCATTCTACGCAGGACTTTAAACGTACCATTTGCTCCAAAAGCTTCCGTCTACAGGGATATCTCAAAGCGCATTCAAAAACACACCCCGCTGAACGAATGATGCAATGTGAATATTGCCAGCAATGCTTCAATACAACTCGCACTCCCAAGAAGCTCTTACAAACTAAACGTGTACAAGTAGAAACACATTCAACAACATTTCTCTGCAGCATTTGCGTTAGGGTTAGGGTTGGCGTTGACTCCATCGTCACAGACGAACCCAAAGATTAACTGTCATTCCCCACAAAATTTCTTTACCGTCTTACCCTTACTGGCGTGCTACCGCATAAACTCAAAATTAAAATTCTTAGAAACCTCATGCCAGCAAGAGGTCTCTGTAATGGCACTAGACTGAATGTTACCAGCATTCACAAAACGAACAGGAATGTAAAACTATCGCAGTTACTACCTCACAAACTGTCCTTATTCCCCGGATATCCCTGACTCCATCAGATTCAAATTTGCCTTTCACCTTTACGCGCAGACAATTTCCTGTCAGATTAGCATTTGCCATGACAATTAATAAAGCACAGGGCCAAATATTCAAAAAGATATGCCTGTATCTTCAAAAACCTGTTTTCACGCATGGACAATTGTATGTTTATCTCTCCAGAGTTTCTTCTTTTCATTCACTCACAGTCGTTAGCCCAAACCCACCCTATTTGGACAACTGTGTCTATCAGAAAGTCTTCGGTCACGAAATAACGGCGCATGCTACGTTATCTACTAGTAGACATTTTTTTCGAATAAACGGTATTCAAACAAGATGCATTTGTGCATTTTTATATTCGGGCAAACGTCCATTTGGACATTAGTCGTATTCGGTCAAATGTCTATTTGGGCTTTTATAAAATTCGGACAACTGCCCATTCGGGAAAACGACCTTCGGGCTAACGTCATTCGAAAAAGTGTCTTTCTGTACTTGGTTGTAGTCCCGTTTATTAATAGAATCTCTATGTTTTACACGTATATTTTTGTATAAAATGTAATCAGTATTTGCTTACCGTATAACAAAATGCATGGGATACTAAAGAAATGTAAGAGCAACATTTTAACTGCTTCGCCTCGCAATGTATCTGGTGTTAGCTGAAATGAAAACTAATAAACGGATGTCTTTTATTGGTTATAAAGCGTAAACCTGCCCTAATGCCAGTGGCGTAGGCAGGGGGGGTTAGGGGGGGGGGGTCATAACCCCCCCCCATAGACCCCTCGGTATATAGACAAAGTATGAGTGGGGGTGCAAATCGAAAGTTTGAGGGGGGGGGGTGCAAATCGAAAGTTTTAGGGGGAGAGCAAATCGAAAGTTTGAGGGGGGGGGGGGGTGCAAATCGAAAGTTTGAGGGAAGGTGCAAATCGAAAGTTTGAGGGGGTGGGTGCAAATCGAAAGTTTGAGGGGGGTGTAAATCGAAAGTTTGTCCCCGGGTATAAATCGGACCCCCACCCCCTTGGGACGATCCTGGCTACGCCACTGCCTAATGCAGTGAGGTAAAGTGGGAAAAATACGAACAATAGTACAGTAAGCAAACAATAGAGCAGTCAGCACATTGCACACACAATATTACATCTCACTCCACTGTCACAATAGAATAATCACGATTGATTAATAATGGATTCAAATAGGCGATATGGATAGGCATAGTGATATGATATGAGTTTAGTTAGAGAGTTACATTACGTGTAATGTTATATTAAAATTAGAATTTAAGTTAGCGTTATAAATAAAGTTAGGGTTAGGAATAGAGATACGCATGACGTTTCATGATAAGGTTAAGGAAATTAATAGGATTAGTGTCATGCAAAAAATTAAAATAAAATAAAAACACACCACATTTATTTTTACATTAAACTTGTTATACTGAGTATAATCGGATCAGAGAAAGGTGGAGAAGATGCAATTAATCATACACCAAGCACATAATTTTATACTCTACGCCAAACTTGCTATTACACACTCCTATGAACGAGATACTTCATATCTCGTTCTTAACATAAAACACAATAAAAAGGTTTCATGACAAACGGTCTCAGACAAAAAAATAACCAGACATAATATCTCACGACAGAAAATCAACCACAACAAATTATATAAGGGTAAAAGTTTGATATATTACACCATTGCTGCCAGAGGCGTAGCGACCCATCCCGGCGCCCGGAAACAAACTATACGATTTGCACCCCCCTCAAGATTTCGATTTGCACCCCCCCCCTCGAGATTTCGATTTGCACCCCCCCTCAACCTTTCAATTTATTTTTCCAACCCATTTTGGCGCCCGGGGACATATGTCCCCAACCCCCTCGCTACGCTACTGATTGCTGCAAATCGCGTTTTATATAAACTGCGCATTTACTGCAGGTGCTTTTTTTCATAAATGTTCTATCAATCTATAGTACTTAAGACATCAGACAAAAACATGCTTTTCCCTCCTCTTTTTTGAGACACATGTCTCACACTGCTATTGTTTCTTGTGGGTCTAGAGACTGAATATTTGGCTTGCTGATAGGAACACAAATTAAAACGTCTGATATAGCCGGGCGTGCGTTTGTGCGTGCCAGCGAGCCAACGAGTGTTACGTGTGTGTTTGTGTGTGTGTGTGTGTGTGTGTGTGTATGTGTGTGTATGTATGTAAACTAATTTGAACACTGTACATGGATGTTGGCCGTCTAGCACCTCCTTAGTTTTGAGTTGGCCGTCCAACACCCTTGTTTTTCACGCTGACCATCCATGATTTACTCCCCCTCCTTTTTTGCCCCCCCCCCCCCAATGTATAGGGCACACGAGTCAATAACACTGACCCAGGTCATTGTGACACTGAGTGAAAAGGGACACATTCCGTATCATTGAAACAAACAAACCAGGTGCTTCCTTCCTTCCTTATACGGAAACCGGCTCAGAAGGTTCACTTCCATTAGCCAGGCAGGCCTCAGTGTGGCAAACCCCGAGAGAGATTCCCACACATCGGTCGCTACTTCCGTGGGCTCTCACCGGGCTTTCCTTCCCCACCCACCAGACGCGGGACGTCGTCCTACCGCCTGGTACCCAGCTTGATCGTGGGGGGCATTCCGCCAGATCAAAACACTCTAGCTGCTGTTATCCATCAATAAAAGCATGTATGAGATTAAAGGGGGGGGGGAGTAAAGTAGCCCGTATTGTCGCCTACTAATTGTATTTCTATTTATTAAAATTATTAATTGCAAGGCATGCGACGTGGAAATCCGTTTTAATAATAGAAATAGCAATGGGTCGGAATTTGATAGGAGCAACATATGGTTACCAAACCGACGCACCTTCTGACAGCTTACTCAAACCTGACATCCTCTGACAGCTTACACCTTTGATATATATGTGTTAAAATATGGCTCACAAATCTTTTTGACAGCTTACATAAATGAAATATCAGTGTCAAAATATGTCTGACATAACTTACACAGAAAATGTTGAACCCCATTTACATCATGCTTAAGTAAATATCGTACATCAATGTTTTGGCTTAGCTGAAGAATGGTTTGAAAACTCAATTTAATTTCAAAGAAATCAGGTTATTGGGTTTGGGGACTACATTGGATGTGAGACTGAAAACTTTAGAGCCACAAATG